AGCAAGGAAATGGGGCTCAGAAGAGGAAAAGCCTGAACATTCACAGGTGTGATAATTCTCTACCTCTACACTTACCTTCATGTCTTTAAACACACACACACACACGCACACACGCGCGCACACACACACAGTACAGTCATATCAGCCTTCTCCTTAGAAACAAGTCCCATCCTCTGTTACCTTCAAATAAAATCCAAATTCCAGAGCCCCCTTCTCCTCTTCTCCCTCCTCACCTTCTGCACCCCAGAGGCTTCCTGCAGTTCATGGGTTTCATCCACTTGCTCTTAGTATGGCTACACATGTGGATATTATTTACTTCTGTTGGTTTTACACTTTATGAAAAGAGCGTCAGATTGTATGTAGTCCCTGGGACTTGATTTTTTTACTCAGTACCACATGTCTTAGACTCACCCACGTTATTCCGTCATTTCTGCAGTTGTAAGCAGTGCTGTCATGAACGTCCCCAAGCTGCACGCCTCTCTAGGTGCACCTGCGAGGCTTCCCCTTAGGATCCTGGGGGTGGGATTCCTAGGACACAGCTGGGCCAGGGTCCCTCTTCACAAAAAAATGCCCCACTGTCTTTCCATGGCACTTGAACCAATTTACTGTCCTGCCAGCAATTTTGAGAGTTCCCGGTGACCCACATCCTCAACGACATTTAATAGCGTCAGACATCAGACTTTTTGCCAACCGAATGGGGAGAAAGTAACGTCTCTTTGTGGTCTTCATTTCCAGGTCCCTGGTCACCAGAGAGTGTAAGCCTCTCGCTGTGTTTTCTCACCATGGCTGTGTCATCATTCGTGAGATGCCAGTTCATGGTTTTTGCCCATTTTTCTCGTGAGCTGTTGATCCTTTTCTGTGCGTCCTGCTCTTTTGTTGTTGTTGTTGTTGCTTATTTGTTTGAAGTAGGCCCCTACCCCAATGTGGGCTTGACCCTGAGATCGAGAGTCACGTACCCTACCGACTGAGCCAGCCAGGTGCCCCTAGTCCCACTCTTTCTGTTTCTTTTTTCTCCTTCCTTAGTCCTTTAAAAAGCTTTTTATGGGGGCGCCTGGGTGGCTTAGTCGGTTAAGCATCCGACTTTCGCTTAGGTCATGGTCTCGCGGTTCGTGGGTTCGAGCCCCGCGTCGGGCTCTGTGCTGACTGCCAGCTCAGAGCCTGGAGCCTATTTCAAAGTCTGTATCTCCCTCTCTCTCTGACCCTCCCCTGCTCACGCTGTCTCTCTCTCTCTCTCTCTCTCTTAGAAATAAAATAAAAATATTTAAAAAATAATAACAAATAAAATAAAAAGCTTTTTATGTGTTTATTTTCCTATCCTACCCTTTCCTCTCTATTGGAATGAAATGTATACATTCCAGGTTTTTTTTAGATGTTATCCTTGAAGTTTTACCATGCACATTTAATTAACAATGTCTAATGTTAAACAATATATTGAACCCTCCCCCCACATTCCTCCCAAGTGCAAGGGCTTTAGAACACTTCAACCTCGGTCTTACTCAGACCCCCAAACACATACACTATTGTCATCCAACATTTCAGACCTGTTGTTTTTAACATTAGAAAGAAGTTCTTATTCTTTTATCCAGATGATTTTTGAATTGGTGTTACCTACACTTACCGTGTATATGTTCAATATCCCTTTTTGCATCTCAGGCTGACTTTCTGGAATGATTTCCCTTCTTTTTTTCAATGTTTATTTATTTGTTTCTGAGAAGGGGAGGGAAGGTTAGAGAGAGAGGGAGAGAGAGAATCTCAGGCAGGCTCCACACTGTCAGCACAGAGACCGACGTGGGGCTCGGCCTCACAAACCATGAGATCATGACCCGACCCAAAATCAAGAGCCGAATGCTTAACCAACTGTGTTCCCCTAGTGCCCCTGGGATTATTTTCCTTCTTGAAGTAAGCACATCCTTTGGAATTTCTTTGGAGCAGCCTCAGCTTTTGGTTACCTGTAGATATTAAAATAAATGTACTTTATTTTCTTTTTGTTTTGGTTCTTGAAAGGTCTTTTTGCTGGACATAATTCTGAGTTGACATTCATTTGCTCTTCCTACACTGAAGAGTTCATTCCAGCCTTTTCACTTCTGTCGTGGTTGTGGAGAAGTCCGCTCACATTCTGTCATCCCTTTGGAGATGGTTTGTCCTTTCTCTCCCACCGCGTTCAACACCTGTCTGCCTCTGGCACTCTGTGGTTCCCATCAAATGTCTGTGAGCCTTGCATATCTTTTTGTTTATTATGCTTGAGATACTTGGAGCTTCCTGGTTCTGTGGATCTGGTTTTCACCGCTTCTAGAAAATTTGCCGCCATTAATGCCTCCAAATGCTGCTTTTCCTCCATTCCCTTCATCTTCTACTATGGGACTCCGGTATCTAAGATCTTCTCATTCTGCTCTCTGTATCTCTTAATCTCTCGTTCATATTATCCACCTCGTGTGTTCGTGGTATGCAACTTCTGGTACGTGAATTGTCTACTTTACCATTCATTAAATTTTAGATTTTGAAATTATGTCGTTCACTCCTGGAATTTCCATATGTTCTTCCCCCAAATCTCTCTCTTCATCCTTCTTTGTTTTATACGCTCATCTTTGTGATTATTTCTGAGGCCTGTCATACATGGTCACTCTGTGGTCTGTCCCGGGGGCCACAGGTGTTACTGCTTCTCTCTGCTCTCGCTTCACGGTAACTTGCCTTCCTGTGACTTGCTAAGTTCTGTGTTTAAGCTCATCAGCGGGTCTTACTCTGCAGGGGTCCTCATTGCGTTTACTTCTGCTCCCACCAAGAGCTGAGGGCTCCCCAACCTGGGACCACCTCCCCCTCCTCCTTATAGTTTCTCCTCACAGCAGATCCAGGTTCCCATCTTCCCCATCCCTGGATGCCAGAGATCTCTCACCACGAGGCAAAACCTCTAGGGGACTCTGGCCTCAGGGCCCCAGGCACCCAGCTAATCGGGCCAGCTCTCTGCCTCTCTCCCACCCACTCCAGCACCTCCAGATTCATTCTCCAGCCTCCCCACCACCACTGTATCCTCTCTCCCTCCTGTAGTTTTCCTCATCTCATGAGTTCCCACAAATCATATCCTGTTTATTTGTTAAAGGGAATATTGTATGCCACTCTGGGTGACCTGGGCCGTGTCTGCATCGTGCCTCACGATGAAGTGATGGACATGTGATAAATGAAGGAGTGAATGAGGCATAGTACCCATCCCCTCGGCGCTCTCAATCTGGCAGCTAAGACAGACCAGCAGACAGAGAAATAACACTGCCATGGGGGGAGGGCAGGGCCCCATCCTGGATGCTGGAGGGCAGGGCCAGCTTCCTCGACCAGACTCAGGAGCTCAGGGGAGGGTGCGAAGCGGAGATCTCAGGTTGGGCTCTCATCTTTCACAGATGGAAGCCCCGAGGGACAGCATTCCATGCTAAGAGAACAGCTTGTGCCGAGGCCTGGTGGTGGAAGGGAAAGTTCAGTGTGGCAGCTGCTCGGAGGATGAGGAAGGGGAGGGGGGGATGAGCTGGCGAAGAGGACACGGGCCGACCCCCAGGGCCTTTCAGGCTCCTGTGACGAGTTTGTCAATGAGGAACAGAGCGTGGAAGGATGTGATCGGGCTGCAGGGTAGAAATTCCCTCAGGTTTCTGAGTGAAGCGAGGATGGGAAGGGGAGGCAGGGAGGCCCATGGGGAGGCTCTGCAGGGATGGAGTTTGGGCCCAGGTTGATAGTGGGGGAGGGGTGCGGCACAAGGCAGACCCCATGAGCACCCTGTCAGTGACCTTGGCAGATAAGGGGAACACTAGGGAGAAGCCTGGCTGAGTCAGCCTGAGGGTGCAGGGTGCGTTCAGGGGCCAGAGGGGCTCCCCAGTCAGCACATCTGGCATACATTTGAAGAGAATAGTGTATACCCTGGATCCCAAGCCAATGCTCCTTTATAATATATAGAAATATCTCTGTAATATATAGAAAGGGGGGAAATGATAGATAGACACGGCAGGATACCCAGCTAAATTTGAATTTTAGATAAACGATGAATAATATTTTAGTGTATGTCTTCCAAATTGGGCATTCTGTATTTTCTCTGGCACCCCTGCTTTCACACCCCACCCTGTCACAAACACACCGTGCCTCCCTGATGCAGCGGCATCTGAACAACACAGACACCTCTAGTTTGCGCCCCGCCCCCCCCCCCGGCCGGCATCCATTTGTCATCCTACCCAGTCCATCTTCCCACTGGTCTGCGAGCCCGTGGAGACCTGAGTCCAGTGCCCAGGCAGGGCCAGGCCAGCACCCTGCTGGGAGTGAGGGGAGGGCAGGGGGTGCCCAGCAGGTCCCCTCATCCCAGCCCCCACACCCAGGAGGAGCATTTCTGGGAAGTGCTCCCCGTCCAGAGCCTGGAGCCCACATGGTGCTCAGGGCCCGTTTTCTGGAACCACCGGAACCGTTCTTGTCACTGTGGCCACATCCTCCCTTGGGATGTAGCCCTGGGCTTGGTAGGGTCTAGAAGCCGGGTTTGGTAGGGTCTAGAAGCCGGGCCTGAGCTCGTGGGGTGGGCCACGTCACAGGCAAGGCCGGGCCTGCACTTGGGTGGGCCACGTCATGGGCAAGCCCCCTTTCACTGGGCTGCAGAGCCAGGGCAGTTCGAGCCAGGGGCCAGAAGCTGCCGTGATCTCCCGGCAGCCTCATTAGTACGGGAGCCCACCCCAAGGCCTCAGGAGCCTGGTACCACTCAGGACTGGGCCAATCCAGGGCAAGGGGCTTGCATGGGGACTCACATCACCCTGACAGAGGTGAAGGGGGACACTCTGAAGTCAGGGCAGAGGCCACTCTAGGGAAAGTGCGGGGGAGGGGTGATGAAGCTGAGGGACAGCAGGTTGTGCCTAGCGATGCTTCCCCTCTCAGTTGACTCTGTTGATAATAATAGCAAAAGCACTAATGATAACAGTGATAACCATTTATTGAGCACTTACTACACGCTAAGCCTCTTTGTATGGATTTTTTTTCATCTTCAGAGTAGGCACCACTACTGCCCCTATTTTACAGATAAGAAAACTGAGGCATGGAGAACTTGAGTGGTTTGTCACATAGCTAGCAAGTGGCAGAGCTATCTGAGCCCAGGCAGCCAGGCTCTGGTGACCACTGTGCCCACCACCCAGGGAGGGCTGTTTGCACCAAGAAATGAACAGAGGGCAGAAGACACCCCTGGGAGAAAAGGGATACAGCTCCAGTTCCCTCACTGTGCCATCCAAAGTCACCATTACCTGTCTGGTGGCTGGGGGGCAGGGCCCGAGAGCCTCCCCACCCACCCCTGCCCCACCCCCGCCCACAGCTCTAGTGCCAGCTCTGCCCAGAGAACTCCTCCCCAAAGAGCCGGAGCTGGCAGCTGCGCTGGGAAAAGAGAGAAATGGCCATGTAAACGGTGCAAGAATTCGTTCTTCTGTCCCTCAGCAGGAGCAGTTCTGGAAGCAGGACGTCTCCATCTCGTGTGTCAGGTCCACAGACAGGTGACATTTCCAGATAGATTTTGGAGCCAGTGGCTTCTGAGCACAGGCCAGCTGCGCCCCCTGGTGTGCATCCTGGGAATGCAGCTGGCTTCATGAGCCCGCTCCCTCTTGGTCTGAGAGGTCAGGACAGGTCTCTACAACTGTGGCCTGAGCTTGGCTTTAGAATCCATACCCTCACGCCTCCTGGGGGAAATTCAATCCTCACCAGTCATCAAACACCCAGGTCACAGGCCCAGCTGGCTCAGGGGGAGGGGAATGAGGCTCTGCCCTCCCATCCCCAGGAAGCCCTCCAGCCCGCTTCTGGTCTACATGGCCTATAGGGGTCTTGGGAGCACTGGAGGAGGAGCCTCTGGGAAGGACTGGACTTCCTGATCTTTAAGAAGAATGAGCCTAGAGCTGGGAGTCACCACAATTTGGGGGGACTGAGGGAAAAGCGGCCTCAGGCATAGGCTGGTGAAGCCTCAGACACTGGGCGAGACTCAGCTGTGGGCTGGGGGGCTGGGCCAGGATGTGGTCTGGCCCTCCCCAGAAGAGGGTGGCAGCCCCAGCAGGAAACCCCCAGGGCAGATTGGCAGAGACCCCGTCCCAGGGGCCCGCTAAGACCTTCTTCGCTGGTTTTATTCAGCCTTCACAAAGCTCTTGGGCTAGGCAGGACCGAAGCCATCTGCCCCATGTCACAGATGTGGAGACCAGGGCCAGGGAGACCATAGGCCCAAGGGCATACAGCGAGACTCAGAGTGAAGCCTTGAAACATGGCCTCCTGACCCCCCAGGCCAGTGCCCTGCCCAGTAAAGTTTGCTGACCCCCAGCGGGGTTGACCCTGCGCCAGAGCAGAATGCCGAGGGAGGCAGAGCCACGTGCTGCCCTGTGGACCTAGGGAAGCCATGGAGGTAGGAAAGCCCCCCCACCCCCGGAGGGCACAGCCTGCCACCTTCTCTGGTGGAAGCCAGAGTCTCGGGCTGCAGGCAGAGAGGCTGGGCTCTGGGCCAGGAGGCCCAGACTACAGCATCGTCTGGGAGGAGCTGAACGCCTCCATCTCTGCCTCCACCACTGCCTCCGAGCGGCACCTCTGGGAGCAGAACCACAGGAAGAGGAAGAAACCTGCAAGCAAAAGACTGGTCAGTGGGAGACACAGGAGCAACGTGGGGCCTCACCCCATATCCAGGGATCTCCTCACAGCGGGTGAGCTGAGCTTCCCTGAAGCCCAGAGTCCTTCTCAGAGCCCCTAACTGTTGGAAGCCAGAAGGGGCAGAGCGTAGAAGCTGGAGGACCAGCCACCACTAGGCCAGAAGGTGCCTTTGTGCAAATTAGAAGGAAACGCTCCTTCCCATGGGCAGAAGGAGCCCCACCCCAACTTGGCAGCGGAGCTGGATTTCGGCCCATGACTCGCCCCCTTGGCCTGAAGCTCTTTTGGGGTAAACATCTACCTGCCACCATATACACCCCCTAGGGCTTCCCCCACACCGCTCACGGGCCCTACCGTACAGCGAGTTGAAGATGGTGAAGAGGAAGAGCTGGGGCAGCAGGAAGACACCAAAGGAGAAGAAGGCCAAGGCCCAGGTGGTGCCCAGCAGCATGGTGAGGCCCAGCACGGTGACGCTATCCCGGCAGGCCCGGGGGCCCGGCACCTTCTCCTGCGCCCGCAGCCTGCGCACAGCCCGCAGTGCCCAAGCCAGCACCACCAGGTTGAAAAGGGATGTGAGGCCACCATAGCCCATGACCAAGATGTTGTGCACCCACGGGCTCCGCACCCAGCATCTGTAGGGGAGGGTGAAGTTCAGGGTCGGTGTGGCTCCCAGGGCCGGGGCAGGGAAGAGACCCTGGTCTCTGAGCCTCTGGACAGGCTCGCAGCCCAGACCCGCTGTTTCTTGTCTGACCACACGTGTGGCGAAGTTCTGGGCCCGGCTGGAACGCCAGGCCACCACATTAGGCCCCACCTGCCACCTCGGCCCCCTGCCTCCAGCCCCCCACACTCTCCTTTCCAGCCACATGGGGCTCTCTCATGCCTCCATGCCTTAAGCCACCCGAAAATTCTTCTTCTCCTTCTTTTTACGTCTTACCTCTCTCCCCTTCCGTGAATAGCCAAACTGCCAACCTGTACAATACTCTATCAGATCACTGGCCCAGGGGCCCTCTTTCCTTCTCCCACCACCCACCACACATTCATCACCATCTAATCAGCATCTCTGTGCAATAGACCCCTCCCCACCTAGACTGGGCCGACATGCTGGACTCAGAGCAGCGGACAAGCTGTTGCAAGCTGGGGCAGCCTGGGGGAGGGGCATTCGCTGCGGACCAGGGAGCAGAGAGGAAGCAGCAGGAAGAGGAAGAGGCCTGAGGAAAGAGCAGAGGCCTAGCCATGGCCCCAGCCCTGCTCCTAGACCCTCCCTGAGGTCTTCACGGCCTCTCCTCTCCAGGACACCTGCAAGACAGGTGGTACCTTCCACCCAGTCAGACACCGTGTCGCATGCTTTCTATGGATTAGCCAGTTCAGTTCTCATGATGAGCCTACGAGGCAGGCGCATCGCCATCCCCATCCCGCCGATGAGGAAACTGAGGCTCTGGCTTAGGAACACGCGCGCGTAAGAGGCAAAGGTGAGATTGGGAGCCTCAGGCTCAGTGCCTATGCCCCTGTCAAAATCACCTGCCCAGGCTCCTGCTGCGGCAGCCGCCAGCCTTGAACGTGATCTTGGGACTGAGTGTGGTCATAGATCATTCCCCGTCACTGCTGTGTGACAGTCCAGCAGGGGGGTCTCTATCGCAATTTATTAACCGGTGTCCTGTCAGTGGGCAATGGAGTTACATTCAAGGTGGTTTTTTGTTATTGCTGTTTGCGTTCAGGAACACATAGCTATGTGGGAAGGGCTTTTTAAATGTCAGAGAGTACAAGTCCGAAGCCAGGTGAGAGGGAAGGGAGAAGAGAGGACGAAGCTTCTGGAGAAGCTGGTGCTTAGAGTGGGGAGCGCTCTGACGGCCCAGCAATAATGTCCTTCCTGTCCCCGCTTTACGGCACACAGCACATATTATATTAAAACTACATGGTTAGGGGCGCCCAGGAGGCTTAGTCGGTCAGGTGCTCGACTTCAGCTCAGGTCATGATTTTGTGGTTCATGAGTTCAAGCCTTACATTGGGCTCTGTGCTGACAGCTCAGAGCCTGGAGCCTGCTTTGGATTCTGTGTCTCCGTCTCTCTCTCTCTCTCTCTCTGCCCCTCCCCCACTCGTGCTCTGTTTCTCTCTCTCTCTCAAAAATAAACTTTTTTTTTAATTAAAAAAAAAATACATGGTTAAAGAACCTTAAGTCACACCCCCTCTGAGGAAGCAGCTGTGAGGAATGAACCCCACCCTCCCTCCACTTGGTGCCCAGAGTCCCCACTTCCTGGAGGCTGGGGGCTGGGCTCTGGAGCCAGCCTTCCTGTGGCCAAGTCCCAGCTCTGCCATCGACCATCTGGGTTTCCTTGGGCAGGGCTCTTAGGCTGTCTGTGCCTCAGTTTCCCGAACGGTAAACAGAGGCTGACAACAGGACGCACTCCTTCCAGCAAGGTTTAAACAGGATAGTACGTGTCGCCTGCCACAGAGTCAGCCTCTAGTCGGCGGTCCTAGGCTTGCATCGGCCAGGAAAGAAAGCAGACGGACAGCCGAACACTGGCGCTGGGTCGCCGGGAGATATTCTCCCTACGTTGGCTGAAGGGTTAATGTCTGAGAGTACAGGAAAAGGCAGCAGAGTCCGGCCTCCGGATCCCCAGGCCCCCTGACACACAGGCGCGCGCGCACGCGTGCACACACACACACACACACACGCTGAGCCCTGCCCTTGGGATGTCCCAGCCCTCGCACACTCTCTCTGACCAGGAGGATCTGCAGGCTGGCAGTGCCGTGCCAGGCACAGGTCGGGGGGTGCAGGAGCCTGAGCGAGCACAGCAAGATGGTGGGAAGGGAGAGCGGAGTCAGGCGCAGGCTGAGCTCCCCCAGCGAGGTCTGAGAGCAGGAGGGGATGCTGGGCTGACTACCGTGCTGCCAGGAGGCAGAGGGCCTGCTGCCCTGGCTCGGGAGGTCCCCGCGCAGGCCCCAGAGTCCATGCCAGGGCTCCCCTAGGGTTAGCCAGCCAACGAAGAGAGCCTGCCTCTGCAGAAGGGGTGTGGCAAAGGCCCCTGGAAACCACCCCTCTCTGAGCCACACCCCCTCCTTGCCCCCCAGCCGGTGCCCTGCCTACAGCACACTCTGTTCATAGCCCCTGGGCCCTTCTGCCAGAGCCAGGAAGTCTGCCACAGCCCTGAGGGCACTCACATAGAATTGTTCTGGAAGCCCGTGCCATTTCCCTGGCTGTCGAAGACTGGGATTGTGTGGACTCCATACACTGAGCTCCGGACAACGAGAAGGAGCAGCACCAGGAGGGCCGGGACCCCTGAGGGATGAGACAGAGGTCTCAGCATCTGCCAGGTGACCCCAGAGAAAGGCTGGTCATGGATCCCTGAAGCTACTAAAACAGAATCCCACTGAGCCAGCGGGGAAGGAAAGGGACTGTCCGAGCCCCCAGTCCCTGCCGCATGGTCCAGCTTCAAAGCACTGACCCTGGAGGTCTTAGAGGAGACAGCTCTCCAAGGTGTTAGTGAGGGCTCTAGGGAGGGACGGTAATGGCGGTAGCAGTGGGGAGATCCAGCTAATGGGACAGAGGGTTGGAGAACTCATGAGGAAAGAGCAAAAATAAGGAGGGGCTAGGATGGCGGTAGAGGTGCCAAGTGATGGTGATGCCAGAGATAGTGGTGAAGACGAGGATGAGGACGGTGGTGACGGAGGAGGTGGTGGAGGCGATGGTGTAGGGTCAGAGGCAGAAGTGGTAGTGATGGTGCTGATGGTGTTAGAGGTAGACATGGAGATGATGGCACGAGCAATGGTGGTGTTAGAGGTGGAGGTGTTGGAAGTGATGGTGCTGGAGGTGTTAGAGGTGGGGGATGG